AGAAGTTAGATAGAATTTTGATTAAAGCTCAGCGGTTAAATGAATTTAATGGGTTCGAGGCTGAAATGTTAAACAGGGATACATCAGACCATTGTCCCCTCTTGATGAAGAATAAGACTCAACAAATCAATGTGAAGACCTCATTCAAATTCCAAGCTATGTGGTGCCAAAATGATGATCTGCTGGACACAATAAAAAGATCCTAGGAGACTCCACTTAGCCCTTATTCTAGAGGATTATTTGGATTTTATTTCAAGTTGAAAAGACTCAAGAATACTCTAAAAAAGTGGAATAAAGATATTTTTGGCAATATTTTTGCTGATATTGAGAAGGCTGAGGAAGAGGCTCTCAAGAAAGAACTCTTATATGACAGATCTAAATCCCCAAATGAAAGAATGGAAGTTAATGAAGCATATGCTAAGCTCAATCGTTTACTCTCTAAGGAAGAAGCATTTTGGAAACAAAAGGCTAGGATNTTTTGGAAACAAAAGGCTAGGATTAAGTGGCTGACTGAAGGAGACAAAAATTCTAAGTTTTTTCATGCTTGGGTTAGGAAAAAATGGGCTAAGAACAACATTAACTCGATTTACAGCAACGGGATTGAACTGAAAGAGCCTAGGGAAATACAAAGTTCTGCTGTAGAATATTTTGAAAGGATCTTAACCAGAGAGCCTACTGGAGGTTGTGATCGAATTCTGGACAATATTCCACAACTGGTAACTCAGTCTGATAATGATATGCTTAATAGGGCACCAGACATTGAAGAAATTAAAGAAGCGGTTTACAGCATTAATAAGGATAGTGCAGCTAGCCCTGATGGTTTCTCTAGTCTATTCTATCAGTATAGTTGGGACATTATCAAGTTGGACATGCTTGATGCGATACTGGATTTCTTTAATGGTAGGGCAATTCCTACTGGTATCACCTCAACCTCCGTTACCCTTATCCCTAAAAAGGCTGAAGCTAAGGAGTGGAGAGAATTCAGGCCAATTAGTTTGTGTAATGTGGTCAATAAAATCCTAACTAAGGTTCTGTCCTCTAAACTCAATAAAATCTTGCATAAAATCATCTCAACATCCCAAAGAGGTTTTACCCCAGGAAGGGATATAG